CCCACACATCACTGCGCATGCCCACACATTATTTTTACTATGTGCGAAATGTTTATCTTTACTAGAAGCGTCTGTGGTTAAAATTTCAAAGAAATATCCCCATAAATATGAAAGTTGGCATTGCGCAGTCTGCGCAAAATATGGAGTTAAATGAAACTGATCGAATTGGGCAAATATAGACCATAACAGTTATCAATTAGCGAAAACCCGAAGTCTCTAGGTGGCCCAGGGGCCGAGATCTCGATGGAACGGACGGACGGAAACACGAGCACATAAGCTTTACCTCAACTTCGTTGTGTTACGCTAAAAAGTGTCATTCTTTTGCTCGTGTCAAGTCAAGGTAGTGAGACATCACGAAAATGAGTATTTGTATCAAAACATGGGTGAAATTTTTAGTTTTCCCGGTAATTAGTGGTGGGTAAAAAAATTCTCCCACTTTTAAAAAATTTCAACTATTTATTTTTTCCGTTTGAGAATATGATGGAATCCCGCAAACTTCACATCAACTTAGCGAATATGAACTGATATCGTCTCAGATCTTGCCTCTCAGAAAATAGAGGATTAACCGCGGAATCAACAAAATACTTTTAATCATTGTAACGGAATTTTAAATGTTAGCTACCATTTTTATAAAAAACAATACATTTTTGGTTGTTGTTCACCCTTATTGTATAAGAAAATAAAGAGATTTATTTTAGGTGTTCGAAGTGCCGGTTTATTAGGTTCTACCATACCTAAGTCCTAAGTGAATTCATTCATGCACATGTCTATCTAATAACTATAAAAATCTATAAATCAGTAAAATTGATTAGAAAGATTCACAGGAAATAAAGGGGTAATTAAAAAATGTTATAACAATGCTAATCTAGTCAACTAATGAATCAGATAAGAATCAGATAAGAATCAGATAATTTACAGAAGGTGTCATTATAGAAAAATGCAGTAAATGCAGTGAATAAGTAATTTACTCAATAGTAAAAGAAATATGCATTTGTGCATCTCCATTCAAATATTGTACAGCTTTTCGCTAAACTTGTTTACATAATATTAGTCCTTGACCATTATACATTGTGTTTAACAATAAATGAAGAGAATATGCAAAACTGGAAAGGATAGAGATACATCGTTGGTCTCACTCAAGGAGTGGGTACATCGTCTAGAGATGTGTATTGTTGGTGGTCTAACCAATTGCAATAACATTGAAATACAAATTGACTACAGAGGAGCCTTAAGGTTGCTGCGTTTGGGTTGAGTACGAGTGGGTTGTGATAACGTGATGTGTATTGTGTTTTTTAGCTGTGCTAGCCCGTGTAACTTTATTGGGTGAGGGCGTCTTTGTAGTGCATGTGTTGCGTTACTTGTATTTATTGCGTTTGTTTGTTCAGGAAGTTGTGTTTGTGTGGTTGGTTGAGTTAACAGTGGAGATATTACAGTATGTTGTGTGTCATGTTGTGAGTCTAAAGTGCTGTTTAGGCTTTTGCGTTTGGGTTGAATACTAATGGGTTGTGATAATGTGGTATGCTTCAGAGGTGAATCTCTGATTGTAGTATATGTTGTATCATTTGTTGTACTTGTTTGTTCGGTAAGTTGTATTTGTTAGTTTGGGTTAGAGGTGGAGATATTACAGTATGTTGTGTACCGTGTTGTGAGGGAGTGCTGTTGTTTACATGTATACGTTGTGGATCATTTCTGTATGTAGTATCTTGTGTGATGTTTAGAAATTTACGAACAATATGGCATGTGTTGATAATGACTGCTTTTTGTAAATGTTTGTATGTGTTTTTGTCTAAACCTAATAGTTGTAAATTGTGGTGTATTGTCTTTGGTATAACTCCGGTAGCACTAAGAACAATGGGAACTATAACAGTAGATTTCATTCTCCATTGCGTCTTAAGCTCGATAGCTATATCGGTGTATTTGCGGTGTTTTTCTGCATGTGTTTTAGTTAAGTTGTTAATGTTGGGTATGGCAATGTCTATAATACAAATGGATTTTTGCGTTTTATCTATAAGTGTAATATCTGGTCTATTATTGTGGATAGTTTTGTCTGTGAGTAGTGTCCTGTCCCAATATAATTTGTGTGTGTTGTTTTCAAGTATGATCTGTGGCGTGTATTTATAGTATGGTGTCTTATCTGTTATGAGATTGTGTTTAAGTGCTAATTTTTGATGTATGATTTTAGCTACCTGATCGTGTCGATGTTTGTATTCAGTTTGTGCAAGTCGTGAGCATGCCGATATTATATGTTGGATTGTTTCTGATGTTTGTGAACAGAGTCGACAAGAATCGTTTGTCACTGTTTTGTCTTTATGTATGTGTTTTTTATAGTAGCGTGTATTAATGACCTGGTCTTGTATTGCTAACATGAAACCCTCCGTTTCCGGGAAGATATCACATTCAGACAACCAAGTGTGCGTTGCTATAGAATCAACACAATCCTGACTAACCTCTTGTGGAAATCGTCCATGCAACGGCTTTTGGTTCCATGTCTGTATGTTATTTGTGATGTATGTAAGTTTGGATGGAGGTGGGAGTATATTAGTTTCGTGTAGGTTAAGTGGTGTGTAAGATTTGTCTGCATATGTTACTGTTTTGTGTAGGACTGAAGTATCTGTTTTGTTATAAAAGTATTGTCGCAAATTGTGTATTTGTGTTTGGTTCAATATTTTTATATCTGTAAGTCCTCTACCTCCTTCCGAACGAGGAAGGTAAAGTCGTATAGTAGAGGAGTGAGGGTGATGTATATGGTGTTTTGTTAATAGTGTACGTGTGTTTCTCTGTATTTGTCCAACGTATAATCCCAAAAGAGTATGTAAGCACTGGTGTGGCATAATTATTATTATTATTATTGTTTCTTTTCATATTAGTTTTCAAAATTTCATGTTATAATTTGATTTTCATTTTAAAATTTATTGCAATTTAAAGATTATTTTGGGGCGCATATCTTTCGATGTGCCTAGGGGCGCAAAAAATTTAAATCCGCCACTGCAGAGGTCCATAACAAAATTTCCGAAAAACACAAACTAATAACTTACGTGTGTATGTGGCACGATATGTGCACCAAAAAAACCACGCCTTAATTTATTATGACCAGAAACAGCCAAACAATTAGAATACACCATTAAAAGGAAATCAACGCACAACAAATTAGTGCTTAAGTAATGAAAAAGTGTAATTTTTAATTCATTTTCTTTTACGTAATTGAAGTTAGTAATATAGGTACCTACTCACAGAACAGAAA